ATGTATCCCAGAGATTCTGGTATGTTGTGTCTTCGTTCTCATTGGTTTCGAAGAACATCTTTATTTCTGCCTTCATTTCATTGTTTATCCAGTCAACATTCAAGAGCAAGTTATTCAGTTTCCATGAAGCTGTGCGGTTCTGAGTTAGTTTCTGCATTCTGAGTTCTAACTCGATTGCACTGTGGTCTGAGAGACTGTTTGTTATGATTTCTGTTCTTTTGCATTTGCTGAGGAGTGATTTATTGCCAATTATGTGGTCAATTTTAGAGTAGGTGTGATGCGGTGCTAAGAAGAATGTATGTTCTGTGGATTTGGGGTGGAGAGTTCTGTAAATGTCTATTAGGTTTGCTTGTTCCAGGTCTGTATTCAGGTCCTGGATATCCTTGTTGATTTTCTGTCTGGTTGATCTGTCTAATATTGACAATGGGGTGTTAAAGTCTCCCACTATTATTGTGTGGGAGTCTAAGTCTCTTTGTAAGTCATTAAGAACTTGCCTTATGTATCTGGGTGCTCCTGTATTGGGTGCGTATATATTTAGGATCGTTAGCTCTTCTTGTTGCAGTGATCCTTTTACCATTATGTAATGTCCTTCTTTGTCTCTTTTGATCTTTGTTGCTTTAAAGTCTATTTTATCAGAGATAGGAATTGCAACTCCTGCCTTTTTGTGCTCTCCATTTGCTTGGTAGATCTTCCTCCATCCCTTTATTTTGAGCCTTTGTGTATCCTTGCATGTAAGATGGGTTTCCTGGATACAGCACACTGATGGGTTTTGGCTTTTTATCCAATTTGCCAGTCTGTGCCTTTTGATTGGGGCATTTAGTCCATTGACATTTAGGGATAGTATTGTTATGTGTGAATTTGATACTGTTATTTTGATGCTACCTGGCTGTTTTGTTGGTTAGTCGATGCAGATTCTTGATTGTGTTGATGCTCTTTTACCATTTGGTGTGTTTTTGGAGTGGCTGGTACTGGTTGTTCCTTTATATGTGTAGAGCCTCTTTCAGGAGTTCTTGTAGGGCAGGTTTGGTGGTGATGAAATCTCTGAGTGCTTGCTTGTTCACAAAGGATTTTATTTTTCCTTCACTTATGAAGCTTTGTTTGGCTGGATAGGAGATTCTGGGTTGAAAGTTCTTTTCTTTAAGGATGTTGAATATTGGCCCCCAATCTCTTCTGGCTTGTAGGGTTTCTGCTGAGAGATCTGCTGTGAGTCTAATGGGCTTCCCTTTGTGGGTAACCCGACCTTTCTCTCTGGCTGCCCTTAGCATTTTCTCTTTCATTTCAACCCTGGTGAATCTGACGATTATGTGCCTTGGGGTTGCTCTTGAGGAATATCTTTGTGGTGTTCTCTGTATTTCCTGGATTTGAATATTGGTCTGCCTTGCTAGGTTGGGGAAGTTTTCCTGGATAATATCCTGAAGAGTATTTTCCAGCTTGGATTCATTCTCTTCATCACATTCAGGTACACCTATCAGACGTAGATTAGGTCTTTTCACATAGTCCCACATTTCTTGAAGATTTTGTTCATTCCTTTTTGCGCTTTTTTCTCTGTTCTTGCCTTCTCTTTTTATTTCATTGAGTTGATCTTCGACCTCTGATATCCTTTCTTCTGCTTGGTCAATTCGGCTGTTGAAGCTTGTGCATGCTTCACGAAGTTCTCGTGTTGCGTTTTTCAGCTCCATCAATTCACTTATACTCCTCTCTATGCTGTCCATTCTCGTCAGCAGTTCGTCCAATCTTTTTTCAAGGTTCCTCTTTTCTTTGCGTTCGGTTAGAACATGTTCTTTTAGCTCACTGTAGTTTCTTACTACCCACCTTCTGAAGTCTGATTCTGTCATTTCATCACCCTCCTTCTCCATCCGGTCTGGTTCCCTTGCTGGTGAGGAGTTGTGATCCCTTTTAGGAGGCGAGGTGTTCTGGTTTCGGGAGTTTTCATCCTTTTTGCGCTGGTTTCTTCCCATTTTTGTGTGTTTATCCACCTGTTGTCTGTCTCTGTCCCAGGGAGTTGGAGCTTTATGAGTTTCCGTTGCACTACTGCCTTTTTTGATTTTTCTTTCAGGTCGGACCCGCCCAGCTAGCAGCAGGCCTAGCCTCTGCCTGCCCGCAGGGGCTTTGCTGAGCTGCTGTGGGCTCCGCCTAGCTGCCCTGAGCTCTTCCCTGTAGTCCTTTTTATATGGGCGTAGTTAGAACTGTCTCGGCAATGGTGGGCCCGCCTCTGTTATGGCGGACTCTCTCTGTTGTGGCGGGTTGCCTCGGCAACGGCAGCCTGCCTCCCTAGCGGTGGAGAGTCTCAGTAATGGCGGAAGCCCCTCCCCCACCGAGCCGGACCCTCCGGGTTCAGCGGTGCTTGGTTTGAAGGGCTCAACCCAGAGGGTTTCCAATTACTGTTTTTGTTTTCGTTGTTGTTGGGGGTGGAGGGCTGGGACCAACCGAGCCTGATCACCTGGCTCCCTGACTCAGAGTCTTTTCTTTTAAGTTGAACGACGCCGCGTTCCGGTCGCTTGTTGAAAAGACGCCGGGATCTCCCTTGCTGCGGCTCACGGAGTCGGCTCGAACCGCGGCGCCGGCTCCTGGTGGATTTTTTGCCTAGGAATCTCCTGGCCTGACTCGCTATTTCAGATGAATGGGCTATTCTGCCGTCTCAGGGCTCTGCTCGCCAGCTAAGAGGGCTCCCAGACCAGTGGCTTTTGTACGGAGAACCGCAGCCACAGGGCGTGGTCACAGCAGCCGCGCGGGCGGAATCAGCCCCACGGGGGCCAAAACAGCCGCACCGGCTGGGACTGCGACGCTGGCGACCCCTCTGCCTGGGTATCTCCTGGTCTGTGGGCAATAAGAGTTCGTCTGGAAATGCGGCGTCCACTCACCCTCTGCACTTTCACTGGGAGCTGAAGTCCTGAGCTGTTCTTAGGCGGCCATCTTCCCAGCATCTCCTCTTTAATTCTTTCATCATATTTTTCTTTTCTTTTTTTTTAAGACAAGGCCTCACTCTGTCACCTAGGCCGGAATGCAATGGCATGATCCTGGCTCACTGCAGCCTCAGCCTCCTGAGCTCAGGCAGTCCTGCCACATCAGCTTCCCAAGCAGCTGGCACACAGTGCCATGCCCAGCTAATTTTATAGTTTTTGTAGAGATGGGTCTTGCCACGTTGCCCAGGCTGGTCTTGAACTCTTGAGCTCAAGCAATCCACTTGCCTTGGCCTCCTGAAGTGCTGGGATTATAGGCATGGGCCACTGCACCCATCTTTTTTTTTTTTTTTCTTTTTTTGTTTTTCTTTTTTTTGTTAAAGCAGTCTCACTTTGTCACCCAGGCTGGAGTGCAGTGGCATGATCACAGCTCACGGCAGCTGCCACCTCCTAGTTTGAGGTGATCCTATCAAGTAGCTGGGACTACAAGTGTGTGCCACAATGCCTGGCTAACTTTATTTTATTTTATTTTTTTGGAGATGGGGTCTCACTATGTTGCCCAGGCTCAAGCCATTTCACCTGCCTGGGCCTTCAAAAGTGCTGGGATTACAGGCATGAGCCACTGTGCCCCCAAGTTCTTTGATCATCTTTCAGTTGTTTTAAAATACTTGTCTAGCAATTCTTTTATCTGGTCTTTCTCAGAGACTTTTGCAATTGGTTTATTTTTTTCCTTTGAATGGCCTATACCAGGAGTGTCCAATCTTTTGGCTTCCCTGAGCCACACTGTAAGAATAAGAATTGTCTTGGGCCGCACATAAAATATGCTAACAATAGCTAATGAGCAAAAAAATAGTAAGTCACCAAAAAAAAAACCCTCATGTTTTAATAAAGTTTACAAACTTGTGTTGGGCCAGATTCAAACCCATCGTGTGCCTCATGTGGCTCATGGACGGCAGGTTGGACACGCTGGGGCTGTACGTTGCAGTTTCTTTGTATGCCTTGATTATTTTTTTTTTTTTGGTTGAAAATAGACATTTGAATGTAATAAAGTCGTAATTCTGGAAACCAGATTCTCTCCTTTCCCAGGGTGTATTGATGATTGTTTCCATTTTTTGACTGTTGGAAGACAGGGGCCTTGTTTCCCACGCTGACTCCCACGGACCGTGTGCAAGCTGCTCCAGGATTCGGGCCTTGCCCAGGGTCAGGGACGGGTAGTTGCTACTGTGCTTCAAGCTGAAACTGACCACAGGCAACCACAGCTTACCCTCTGAGCATTCCCCGGGACGTTGCAGGCCTTCAAATACACTCGCGTTCCCAATAGTCACCTCGGACTGATCTTGTCAGTGCAGTTGTTGTCTAGGTGAGGAGATGGTCCTAGTCCTCCTACTCTGCCATCTTCGCAGAATCCTCTCCCCGTCTCCATTTTCGAAGAAAAGCATGAGTGTCTGTCATGTAAGAATGACTGGATAGGGTCTCACCAAAAAGCGGGAGCTGGGCTGGTTACTGTTAAGTGCCTTTGTTTTTTTTCAGTGTTGTTCTTCTGGTATTAAATAGACACTATACGTGTCTATTTAAAGGGCGTATAGGATGAGCCCGACAGCAATTTAAACAAAAGCGCAGTCCATGCACCACTTAGTGATGGGGATGTTTTGTGCAAGCATCCTAGAGTGTGCTCGCACAGACCGAGGTGGGGTAGCTTGCTACACTCACTCCCAGGCTCTATGGGGCAGCCGTTTGATTCTAGGCTACAAACCTATACAGCTGTTACTAGCCTGAATACTGTAGTCAGTTGTAACACAGTGGTACTTGGGTATCTAAACATCGAAAAGATGCCATAGAAATGTAGTGGGATAATCTTAAAAGAAAGAGCACCATTACATATGTAGTCTGTTGTTGACCAAAACGCCGTGCGGCACATGACTGTATTTAAACAATTGTCATTTGCCTTTTAATAATAAAGAATGAGCTCTAATGAATGTTTTCAGACGTGAATAAGTTGGGGAGTTAGAAACATGTTGCTTGACCAGCCTTTTACTGTTTTAAAACTCTTCGGGTGACATTTACATCAACTAATGCGCCTGCTTTTGTTCTTTTTTGGAGGCCTGTGACACTTGCGAAAGTGCAGATTCAGCGGATGACGTGGCCACATCCAGTGGTCAGGCAGAAGACAGCAGTTGAGCGACTGAGGATGAACCTTCGTACCCTTTCCAAGACATGTTACACAAACAGAGCTTTTTAAGTCCTGGACTTTTAAATATTTGACCATAAAGTTATCAGTGAATGTTAAGATTTTTTCTTCTTGATATTTTAACACACATAATCTTTTTGAAGCAGGCATTGTGTACAAAGTCTTTCTTCTCTTTGTTCCTGATCCATTAAAATGGCCAATGAGGCTCTTTCTCAAGTTGAGCTGTCTTCTAAAGAGACTGGATGGCCTGTAAAGAGGTATGTGGATCTCTGGTTCAGATGTCACCCAGAGTAAATTATAATTAGAAGTCTAGCTAGAATGAGCCCCAGACCTTAGCGTGATTTATTTTGTCCTGTTACATCAGTCACTTTCACCTTAGAGTGCTTGAAGAACTCCCGTCTACAGGTCGTATACTTTTCATAATGGTTTGCATAAATGTAGTACATTCATGTAGGCTTTGTTCAACCTGGTGTTCCCCTGCTTTAGATAAAACATTCCGGTTTTCTCACAGCACATTAGCACATATTGTCCATTAGCATATCTGGGATAACCAGGTTTTGAGGGTTGAATTTTGACCTTCATCCTTGCAGATGCCTTTCCTACTGATCTTCCACCTTCCAGTGAAATTCTGAAAGTCGTGTCTTAAACATTGATCAGCTTACCATAGGCGTATTCTTTTGAGAGCTTAAGTTAGCATTTACATGTGTAATGTGAAAATGAAAGAGCTGCTTATTCGACCAATGGTGTTGCCCTTTTGAATGTTTTTGTTTAACTGTAAAAAGTTTCACAAGTAATGTAAAAGCTAGTAACCTTCTTGTATACTTCTGTGTTTAAATGTTCATTCTTACCAAAACTAACAGTTAACTCTTTCTTTCCAATCAATTTATACAAGAGGTCACTCCAGCCCTACCAGAGGTCTGATTGGCTCTGCCTTTGTTTGCCCTTGAACAGGGTAAGTGTCATGGGGATTGCACAGGAGAAAACGTCAAGGCAAGCTCAGTTGTCCTTCCCACGGGGCCTTGCAGTTCCTGCAGTCAGTGCTTTCTATGGCGGTTGTAGTTGTGTCTTTTGAGAAGTGAGTGTGATTGTTTAATTGATAAATCAGCTCACTCTCTGGTGCTCTTTAGAGAAGTCACTGATTCCTTCTCAAACTTGGAATGATACATGAAATTCACACCCCTGGAAGTCAGGAAAAAAAATACAAAATGAAGGTTACAGTAACCTTTTGTCTTTATATAACTTGCAACAAACTAACTTATTTTTTGTCTTCCCTTTTTTTTTGTTTTTGTTTTTGTTTTTTGTGGTGGTTTTAGGGAAATGCTTCTTTCTCCTTTGAAGTGTTACAGCTTTTTGTAAACGCATCCTGATAATGATTAGGAAAATCAACCTTTTTATCCACGAGGACCATCCCCGTAGCTCAGATTTTCTTTCGAACTACTGGTTTTCTGGATGATAATTCCATCTTAAGGTGTCAGAACTATTTTCACATGCTGCCTCTGACAGTCCCTGAATTTTCTGATATTAAGCAGTTCCATGCAGATATTCCCGTTTTATAAATAGCTCTCATATTCTGCTCCATCTTGATACTTAAGTGATTTCTGAAGCCTTTGTGTGTTGATCAGGTTGTGTGGTATTTTTGCTTGAAGAAAAAATCAAATTTGAAACAACCAGCCGGTAGATTGTCTGTCAGTGATCTTCTGTAGTAATAAAGTTTTTGCTTCTGTAAATAAAAGCAGTATCTGTAGCCATCAGGATCATTGTGCATTCGTAGACGCCTATTTTAAGCCTTATGTTCTCTAATAGAAGCCTTTCTTTTCCATCGTTTCTGGATAGCTGTATTATCCAAACGTGCTCATTTCTTTGCCTTAGTACACATTTTCTGGAGTACATGTTATACGAGGTTTTATTGGAAACTGGTGCTTGTCACAGAACTGTCAGAGCATGAGGAGCGCTCCTGTTGTGGGGGGACATGTCCATGCACTCGGGTTGCACCTGCTGCTGGCGGTGAGCAGGGGGCTCAGCAGCTGGACCACCGCCCCCCGAGGGGGCTCTCCCCACTTTAAACTTTGTTATTCAAATTTATTAACTTTTTATATTAATGACTATAGAAAATGGAAGTAAAAATGTATGTTGTAGGCTTCAGCGTTTACATAAATGTTATTCAGAAGCTGTATTTTCTTTGGTCAGAGGTCAAGATTTATGAAAAACAAGATGCTGTATGAACGGAATCGTTTTGCAATTGAGTGAAACTTCATTATAATTCACAGTGTATATTTAATCAAAATTGAAATTTTGTTTCAACTGAATGTATAATTCTGAATTTGTTTTTAATCATAAGTAATATTTGAATTGGATGTCTTTTTAAGTAAAAACAATAAACTGTGTACATGTAAAACGTGAGGAAATTGTCCTACCCTGTGTTGACAGATCTTTGAGTGTGTGTTCTGTGTCATTTAGAACTGCCTCTTGTGGTCTGTCGGGGCCCTCACATTGGTTAACCTTGCTTTCTCAGCCGCATTCTGTGTTCGCGTTGGCCAGTGTGAGCGCCTGCTGTATGCAGGATGAAGATGCAGGCACTTGGGAATTTACTGGCTTATTTAACCCATTTACACCTAATGTTCCATTATTGGAATGCTAAGCTTGTGGGAGTTATTTATATCCTACTGCTCAAAGTCATCGCCAAGGTCTGATTTTTCACACACACACACACACACACACACACACACACACACACACACAATCCAATCTACAGCATAAATGGGTTAGTCCCCATTTCAGCAGTCGGAAGAATTTATTGGGTCCTGAATATATGTACATATTTTAATACTTAATGTCAAGTTTATAAAATTTGGTTATCAAAATTTCTCCTAATAGGTTTTGTAGGGTGAACCTGTGTACAAGATCTGACTGTGCAGCTGGTGGCAACAAAACCTAGAAACTAAAATACAGAACAAGATCCTGAAGCCACAGAGCTTTCTAAAGTTGACACCTTTCAGACCATTTGCACCTTTCTTTTCTGTAACGAAAACCATAACAGGAGCAGGAAGAAAAAACAGCGAAGTTTACTTTGCATGTATCTACTCTGACAGGTGATAGTCTAAGTGCTTGACATGAATTATTTAATCCTCACAACTGCCCTGTGAAATAAGCATGGTTATTGACCTCGTTTCACAGAGAAATAAACTAAGGCAGGGGGAGTCAAATAACTGGGTCAAAGACACAGCTGGTGTGCAGTGGGAGTAGGACTCAACCCGGAAACCTGACAGGAGAGCCCCGGGCTCTGCGTCTTCACCTGATATCACTAACACGAGGAGGGATTTCGGAATTACTCTACAGTGGAATTTCACTTTGAAGTTCTCTCTGATACAGAACAGTTTTGTGGTGACAACATTCTGTTCCAGAGAACTCGGATTGGTTTAATTTCAACAATGAGAGGCATATCACAATGTTATCATAGCTCTCTTCAATGTCAGCGTGTTCTGAGCTCGTGGGTTCATTCTTCAAGTGTAAAACATCTCTCATATTTGTTTTTGATGTCTTCAACATGGTAAACTCTGTGAGACCTGTACTCTAGGAGACGTGTGACGTTTGGTGACAAGGTTGACACAAGTTGCATGTTGCTATTTGGTTGGTTCCGACCCGTCCTCTTGGACGTGGTGGGATGCCAGAGCTCAAGGGAAACTAGTTTCTCATTAAAATCCAGGCCTGTGGGTAACACGCCCATGGGCACCGAGGAAGGAGAACTGTGCAGACCCCAGGCACGATTAATTAGTGCCTGAAGTATAACTCACTGCTTGCTTATATCTAGCTTATATATATAATACTTAGTCCCATATAATCTTTCTATATAATCATATAATGGATTTAGTCAGAGCTGTACCAACACATTCAGTGCTGATTTATAGAATCCTTCTATATAACCACATAGTAGTTTGTAGTAGGAGGAACACCTGGAGCAGTCACAGAGCAGAAGCAGTACATGGGAAAACAGCCAGACCAGGACAAGAACCAAAGACCCAGGCGACGGTGGCCCTGCCTGAAAGGGCGTACGCTGTATGGCAGGCTTGGAGCACGAGCCTCTCCTCCGGATAGAGGAGTTGTAGTACTTTGCATCCAGTTCCTGTGGGAAGTCGGCCTCAGGCCTGAGATCCCGCAAATAACCGAGGGAGAAGAACCCCTCTGGTGTGACCAGTCACGGCGGCTGGACACCCTGTCAGTCTTTTCTCGCTTCTGTGCTAGCTCAAATCAGCCTCCCATAAATAAGAGTACAAGTCTGTCAGCTCCCACTGCATTGGCTTACGGTATCTTTCTGTTAGAAATCCTTTGAAGTCTCCAGCCCCCAGATAAGGAGTGTTGCGCATGTCACCTGTTGCACACAGCCCACCTCCTTGCCTCAGTGACCTAATGGGGTGGACCCCTTTTCTGTACACGATCTTCTACTACTGCACATGGCGTGGCCCCCTACTGCACACAGCTCCCCCCACCACCACCCATCTGCCCAGGTGACATACGGGGTGGTCCCCTTGTTAGTTACTCACGTGATTAGGTATGCCCTATCACTAAGCCTATAGATGATGACCTCACTCACGACCCTTCCCCCTGCCTTGTACCTAATAAATGCAGATGCTTCTAGGTGCTTGGGGCCTCGCTTGTCTCTGCTCATTGGTGGCATGGCCCCCAAGTCCAGCTGCTCTTCTCCAGTTCTTCAGTGTCCTGTCACTTTACTTCTCGGATCCTGCATCTCAGCGTAGCATAAGGGACACCCCACGACCCCGTGGGGCCAACAGCCCTACAGATCTGGCAGATTATATGGGACTAAATATGATTATATATATAAGCTAGATATAAGTAAGCAGTGAGTTATACTTCAGATACAGGCACAGTTCTCCTTCCTGGGTGCCCATGGGGGGGGCGGGTGTTACCCACACAGGCCTCCCGTGTACGTGGTTTTGTGCGAGAACCACACAGAACTCTCAGGAGTTCACACTGTATCACTGTATATACTATACATATGTAAACCACATGATACAGATGTATTCATGGAATCTGTCAGTACTTATACACATGGTTTGTAAAAATTCATGAGCCAGGCTATCGCTTCCACAATTGTAAATCTTGCCTCAGCTTTCTTCTATTAGAAACCTCAAGGTGTTTTTCCCCAGTGTAAGAAACTGTCATCCTTGAGCTCACAGAAACTGAGATCATACAAGTCTCGATGTTAAAAGATTCACGTTTTCAAGTGTTCAGGACTTTGGACAGCTAAAAGAAAGAATCTCAGCACATGAACATCCCCCACCAGCTTCGGAAACCAGGGAGCGTCAGACGCTCCTGCCTTCATCTCAGACATCCTTGACTTCAGAGATTTTTCCCAGCTAAGATACTGGTTTGTTTTTATTTATTTTTTTTATTTTATATTTTATTTTATTTTGTAACTTTATTTTTTATTTTTGAGACAATCTTCCTCTGTTGCCCTGGCTGGAGTGCAGTGCTGCAGTATCGGCTCACTGCAACCTCTGCCCCACGGGTTCAAAAGATTCTCAAACCTCAGCCTCCTGAACAGTTGGGACTACAGGCATCCGCCACCATGCCCAGCTAATTTTTGTCTTTTTGGTAGAGACAGGGTTGCATCTTGTTGCCCAGGATAGTCTCAAACCCCTGAGCTCAAGTGATCCACCCACCTCGGCTTCCCAAAGGGCTAGGATTATAGGCGTGAGCTACCGTGCCTGGCCATGCTTTATTTTTTAAGTAGTATGTTCTCTTTTTTAAGGGTTGAGAGGACATCATAGCTAAGATAATGTCGTTTATTTAAATGATTTGTCATTTAACAAGTTTAACTTTCATGACTTTTTCTTAGTGTTTGCTTCTGTTCATTTATTAGCTTTGCTTCTGAATTTTCAAAGAATTTTCTAGGATAAATGGAAGAGAGGAATAATTTTAAATTTTCAGGACACATTTATAGAGAAAATAACCACTCGTGGTGTGTGCAAAACATAGAGGATTTATTTTCCAGGTGAAAATGAACAGGGGATAGTTTGCCTGGTTTTTCTCCACACTGTTTTCAAATCAAGCCTTGTTTTATTTTTCATGTTCTAAGGTGGGTGTTTCCGAGCTGACTAATAGATGCTGATTTCACTTCAGACACAGTATTTCCAGAAGCAATCAGGAGTCTCACGTTTCTTGTATGGTTTCCTGGTTCTGGCCAAAAGATGACTCAGTAAAACGTCAGGATCTTGTCCAGAGAAAGCCTGAAATTTAAACAATCCAAACAACAAACAAAAACAGATAAGTTACCAACGAATGAAGAGTTCTGCACACAAAAAAAGAATCTTTAGTCAAGACAGTGGACGTCTTAAAAGTATTTGCATTTTTCCCTGGACTGTAACTGTAACGAATGTCCCGGGCCCAGTGGGACACTCTCCTGTGTCCACCTCCCCACCTCTAACGAGTGTGCCTCCAGTCTGTTCAGACAAGTGATGGTCATGAATTTTCCTAAACCCTCATTGACCGATTTCTAATTAAATCATGTCAGTGGCTAGGCAGGCCGCTCACATCTGTAATTCTAGCACTTTAGGAGGCCGAGGCAGGCAGGTCACTTGAGCTCAGGAGTTCGAGACCAGCCTGCGCAACTCGGTAAAACCTCATATCTACAAAAATTGGCTGGGTGTGGTGGTGGGCTTCTGTAATCCCAGCTACTCAGGAGGCTGAGGCATGAGAATTGCTTGAACCTGGGAGGTGGATGTCGCGGTGAGCCGAGATCACACCACTGCACTCCAGCCTGGATGACAGAGCGAGACCCTGTCTCAAAAATAAATAAAAAGTCAGTAACATGTTCTGTGCATTTATTATCTTCTGTGTAAAATATAGTATTGTTTGTATTGTGTTGTGTTGTGTTGTGTTGTGTTGTATTCTTTTGAGATGGAGTCTCACTCTGTTGCCTGTGTTGGAGAGCAGTGGCGCCATCTCAGCTCACTGCAACTTCCACCTCTGGGGTTCAAGTGATTCGCCTGCCTCAGCCTTCTGAGTAGCTGGGATTACAGATGGATGCCACCATGCCCGGCTAAGTTTTGTATTTTTTCTAGAGATGGGGTTTTGCTATGTTGCCCAGACTGGTCTCGAACTCCTGACCTCAAGTGATCTGCCTGCCTCAGCCTCCCAAATGCTGGGATGACAAGCCTGAGCCACTGCGCCCAGCCTCCTGCACATGGTTCACGTCAATGTCTGGGGCATGGCCTTCTTCCAGGAGATGTTATTGCAGTGCTCTCAATGCTTTCACGTGCATGGGAATCAGCCGGGGATCTTGTTAAGATGCAGACTTTGCTTCTGCGGGCACTAGGTGGCCCCGAAATTCTGCATTCCTCACTGGCTTCCAGGCGCTCCCAGTGCTGCTGGCGGGGCCGCATG